AGTAACCAGTAGTATTAAAACAGCTTGGTACTGGTATCAAATATACAGACAGATCTATAAAACAATACTAAGTTACAATACAGTAGTTCTAGATCCATATGGAAACTTAGTATATGATAAGGTGACATTCTCAAATCTATGGGGAAAAGATGGATGTTCCAATAAATGTTAAAACAACTGGCTATGGGAGTTCCCTGGCGGTGCAGTGGTTAAGAATCCGCCTGCTAATCCAGGGGACATGGGTTCGAGCCCTGGTTGGGGAAGATCCCACATGCCGCAGAGCACCTAAGCCCGTGCGCCACAACTACTGAACCTGCGCTCTACAGCCCGCGAGCCACAACTACTGAGCCCACGTGCCACAACTACTAAAGCCCGGGTGCCTAGTGCCCGTGCTCCGCAACAAAGAGAAGCCACGGCAATGAGAAGCCCACGCACTGCAACGAAGAGTAGCCCCCGCATGCCGCAACTAGAGAAAACCCACGCACAGCAACAAAGACCCAACGCAGCCAAAAATAAATTAATTAATTAAATAAATTTTAAAAAAGAACTTTCATTAAAAAAAAGGAACTATATAAAAAGTTCTTACAAATCAAAAATGAAAAAGCAAACAATTCAAAAGAAAAATGGGCAAAAAATATGTGCAGGCAGTTCACAAGAAATACAAATGGCCAAAAAAATATGAAAAGATGACAAACTTTCTCAAAAAATGCAAATTAAAATGAGACATAATTTTCACCAGCAAAAAAGTAAGATGTTTTGTAAAACCCAGTTTGGGCCAGAAAATAGAAATGTAAATTAATACAACTTCTCTGAAGGGCAATCTGACAATACTTACCAAAATTTTCAACTGACAACCCATTGACTCAGCAATTTCAATTCCAGGAATTTAACAAATGTACAGAACAAGTTTATAAAGATGTATAGAAACAGTTGTTGCAGCATTTTTTGAAATAACAAAAACTAAAAACAAGCTAAATGTCCAGCATTAGAACATATATTTTAATATACGCATAAAACTTTCCTGAAAAATATACAAGAAACTGCTATCGACGCATACCACTGAGGATTGAGACTAGGTGGGTAATAGAAAAAAATTCAATCTTTCATCATACATCCTTTTGTCAATTTATATTTATTTTTACCATTTGCATGCTTTTATAATTTTTAACAGTTGATAATTTTAATATATTTTTAAAACCTTCCTCGAAATACATACCAGTTCAAAATGAACTTTTTCTCTGGTTATGGGATAAGGGATGATACCAAGAGTAGGGAATAAATGGGTCTTGACTATAATCCTTATTTTTAATATACAAGAAAAAAAATGAAAGTCTAACAAAATGTTAATAATTGCCAAATCCGGGTTTATTTGACATATCACCCTTTTCACTTTTTTATAACTTTTTATATCTTTCAAAATTAAAAGTATAATTAAGAGAAAAATAACCATCAAAAAAAGTCTTTCCTTAATCCCACATCCCTCTCCAGCTCCTGCCAATTCTCTCTCCTCCCATTCAAAGACAAACTTCTTAAACGTACTGTCTGTAATAGCTTTCTCTAACTCCTGAACTCCCATTCACCTGTCAATGCAGTTGATTTCCACAACAGACCTCACCACACCTACACAGATACTACTCTCCCTAAGGTCACCTCTATGTTGTCGAAACCAAGGAACATCGTTAGTTCATGTCTTTCGCGATCCCCTCTCAGCAGCACACAGCTGAAACTGTAACGTGATTAACCATTCTTTCCTTCCTGAAACACTCTCCTTTTGGCTGCCATGAAACTATACTAACCTGGTCTTCTCCTACCACGTTGGCCTCCCTTTTCAAGCTCATTAGCCATATCTTGCACCCTCTACCCAATTTTTTAATGTTGGAGTTCCTCAGGGCCTGATCCTTGGGCCTCTTCTCTACTTGTTCTCCTCAGGTAGTCTCATTCATTCCCAAGACTTCAATTAAAATCAACAATATGATGACTTCCAAATTCACAGTTTCATCCCAGACCTATATTTTGAGCTCAAGATCAGTGTCTCCAATGGACTACTTAGTATATCTTCCTCACAAGTACTCCAACTCAACATGTTCAAAACCAGACTCAGATTCTTACCCTACAAGTTGTTCCATTTAAGGCAGTATATTCAAAATTATTATGTAGATATTTGTTTATTTATTATAGTAGAAACATGTTCACCATAGATTAAGTAGAAAAAAAAGATTATGAAGCATTATATATAATTTGTTCCCATTACTGCAAGACAAAAAAATACACACACACACACACACGCACATGCACACGCACACACAGAAAGAGAGAAAGAAATGCCTAGAAAAAGACCTGGTAGGATATACTCCAGAATGTTAAGCAATAATCTCTGGATGGTAGGATTACAAGTGATTTTTATTTTCTTAGCTTCTTCATGTGTGTATTGTGTGTGTGTTTATTTTCCATATTCTCTAAAATGGCTGCTTTTCACTTTTATGATCAGATTTTCTTAGGTTTTTTTTTTCCTCTCCTGATAGGATGCAATATGAAGTACAGAGCATCAGTTATTAAGTTTTCTTGGTAAAATTGTGTAACTTGAATCTAGAAAAGCTTTTAGATGTAACTTCTAGTTTGTAGGAAAGGAACAGAACATATTATAAAATACCGCACAGAAACAATCAAATTAAAAAGGGAGGAAATTTTATGTCAAATGGTCTAGCCTAATCAAAAAGCAACTGTTGTAGAAATAAAATAGTGAAAGCTCTGTTCTGCATTAAAGGTGACATCATAGCAAAATGCAAAGCATGAACCATCATTGGCTCTTGGTCATAAACAACCCCATAAAAGACTTTTGGGGGACAACTGGGGAAATGGATAGAGTATTAGATGACATTGGGGCATTATTATTAATTTTCTTCAGGGAGATAATGCTATTGTGGTTCTTTAATAGAATGTAGAGAATATCCTTGTTTCTAGAAATGCATGCTTAAGTATTCAGGGGTGAAGTATCATAACATCTGATCAAGAAAACTAACGTGGGGGCTTCCCTGGTGGCACAGTGGTTGGGAGTCCGCCTGCCGATGCAGGGGACGCGGGTTCGTGACCCGGTACGGGAGGATCCCACATGCCGCGGAGCGGCTGGGCCCGTGAGCCATGGCCGCTGAGCCTGCGCGTCCGGAGCCTTTTCTCCGCAATGGGAGAGGCCACGACAGTGAGAGGCCCACGTACCGCAAAAAAAAAAAAAAAGAAAGAAAGCTAACGTGGGTGCGTGCGCCCTCGGGCCACTGCGCCCGGGCCCTAACTCCCTCTCCGTCCTCCCTGCTCCCAGGCCAGTCGGCCGCAGCCATGGCGCCCAGCCGTAATGATATGATCCTGAAGCCCCACTTCCACAAGAACTGGCAGCGGCGCATAGCCACGTGGTTCAACCAGCCGGCGCGCAAGATCCGCAGGAAGACCTCAGCCCCCAAGAAGGGAGACAGCTCTGCTGCAAAGCTCAAATTGGCCACCCAGCTGACCGGACCAGTCATTCCCATACGGAACATCTACAAGAAGGAGAAGGCTGGAGTTATCACAGAGGAGGAGAAGAACTTCAAGGCCTTCGCCAGTCTCTGCATGGCCCGCGCCAATGCCCGGCACTTTGGCATCTGGGCAAAAAGGGCCAAGGAAGCTGCAGAACAGGATGTTGAAAAGAAAAAATAAAGTGCTGTTGGCAACTTGTTATTAAAAAAAAAAAAAAAAAAAGCTAACATGACAAAATGTTAACAACAGTTGAACCTAAGTAATGGGTACAGAAGTGTTCATTATATTACTCTTTTGGGAAAAAATTATTTCTTATAACACTGTAAGGTTCCAAATGGCAAGGATTATATCATCTTAATTTTGTACCCCCAGCACCTAAAACACAGCCTGGTCCTATAAATGTTTGTTGAGAGAATGAATAAATAAAAAGAAGCACATATTTTGAGAAGCTGGGCTTTAGGCCTGGTAGAAGTGGTGATTCTCTACACATTGACACCATCTTCTGAAATAATTAATGGATGTAAAACTTCTTATGCACTGCATGGCACATACTAGGCACTCAGTAAATGTTAGTTCCCTTCCTTGCTCCCATTCCTTTATTTCTGTTACTTTTTTTTTTTTTTGGCCACACCACACGGCTTGCAGGATCTTAGTTCCCTGACCAGGGATCAAACCCGTGCCCCCTACAGTGGAAGTGCGGAGTCCTAACCACTGGACCACCAGGGAATTCCCTGTTTCTGATACTCTTCAGTCAAAAAACAGATGTCATTACTATCCAATGGCTGCTTTGAAATGTGTTACATAATAGACAAAGAAAAATTGGCAAATAATAGGGTTGAAACAGATTGAAATTCATTGAGTTGACCAGATTGAATGAACATTCATTTTGGATAAAATACTGGAAGAAAAGCCTTAGCCTGGTAGATAATGGACATGAAAGACAGGTCTGAAATAGTAGCAATAATAATAATAATAATAACTTTTTTTTTTAATATTTATTTGGCTGTGTTGGGTCTTAGTTGTGGCATGTGGGATCACTTTTTAGTTGTGGCATGTGGGATCTAGTTCCCTGACCAGGGATCGAACGTGGGCCCGCTGCATTGGGAGTGTGGAGTCTTAGCCGCTGGACCATCAGGGAAGTCCCAATACTAACTTTTTTTGAGCACTTCATATGTTTTAGCTCACTGAATCTTCAAATAATTCACTGTAGTTTGTACTATAATTCTCATTTTTTAAAGTGAGGAAACCAAGCTATGAGAGGTACTTAAAAGTCACAGAATAGTATGTGGTAGAGTTGGAATCCAAACTTACTACACAACTCTTGCTCTTAAACCACTACTTTATGTTCTTGCCCTTTGTCCTGTTCCACGTGAGGGGTAGGATTTGGTCCCAGGCACTCTTCTCAAAGATATGTTAGGCATCTTTTTAGACAAAATTATTAGAGTGTTAGAGGGTCACTTAAAGCAGGAAGACTACATCAGGAAATAACTGTTTACCTGCAGAACAGATGGGATTCTCTCCTGAGGTTCTGAACCTAAAAAGAGGAAGAAAGTATGTTGAATACAATTAGATACCCACATCTATTTGCAAAGCTACCAAAACTTGTATGCTCCTCATTAAGGATATATCAATGCTACATATTTCCTTATTTCCTCCTTCTCTTCTTTCCATAAACATTATTAAGTACTTACTATGGGTCAATCTGTTAGGTCCTGAGGATGCAAAAGTAAGTAAAATGTCTCTCTATCTATGGTCTAGTTGGGAGAGAGATATGTAAACAGATGCGAGCCACAATACAGTGCTGATCCAGAACAAAATCATGTACAAGATTTCGTGGAATACAAAGGAAAGCATGCTCATGAGGGGTGAAACTATTTGAAATGAGGTTTTAAAAATTAAGAACTATTCTCGATTATTTAACCCCACAGGAAAAGCATTCTAGGCAGAGGTATGAAAGTGGTATATCTGGGGAACAGCAAGCAGGTGGATGTGAGTGGCACTTAGGCAGCAAGGAAGGGGGCAGGGTAAAAGGTAATCAGGGGTCAGGTTATGAAAACCTCAAACACTGTGCTAAGGAGTTTTGTCTGTACTTTGTGTGGGCAGTGGGAAGCTCCTGGCAGTTTAATCACAAAAGTGATTTGATCAAGTTTAAGTTTTAGAAAGTTAACCCTGGCAATAGGTGAGCAATGAATAGGAAGACATGAAACTGAGGGAAGAGGACCAGTGAAGTCGTTCTTGCAATAGCCTTGCATTATTCGAACATATTTCAAAAGCAAGGCTGACAGGATTTATTTAAGAATTAGATGTAGAGTGAGAGAAACAACAGTGTCAAGGATGATTCCAAGGATTTTGTCCTGAGCAACTAGATGAATGGAGTTGTCATTTACTGAGAATGGGGAAGGAGTAAGTTTGCAGGGGAGTTAATGCTTGAGATGCTTAGTAAACATGTAAGTGGAGATGATGAAAGAAGAATGCTGTGTGAACCATCTAGTGGAATGCAAATATTAACTATATTTTTACTGTTATTAATATCCTTACCTCAAGAGGGAAAAGGCTTGCTTAAAAATGGTGTCATTCCTCAGACACAGCGCCTACAGCAAAATAGCCATGTTAGAACAATTGTAAGCATTCACAGATCTCCAAGTACCTCTTCACAAAGAGGCTAGAAACCCACAGTACTCAAAACAAAATGGAACCAAAGTCTCTTGTCTAGCAAAGAAACTGCCCTACAGTTAATACCAAACATGCAGGCAAACCAAGGCCATCTTCTTTCCTATTCTACCCACTAGAGAAAATGCTCGAAAAACAGAAGCCCAACCCCCCTGCACTACTTGGATTGCTTTTTTTTCACCCTATTTCCCCTTTCTAATTTGATTTTTTTTACTTTTTTTAAATACTTATTTATTTATTCATTTTCTTGGCTGCATCAAGTCTTAGTTACAGCATGTGGGATCTTTCATTGCAGCATGCGGACTTCTCTCTAGTTGTGGCATGCAGGTTTTCTCTCTCTAGTTGTGGCACACAGGCTCCAGGGTGCATGGGCTCTGTAGTTTGTGGCACATGAGCTCAGTAGTTGTGGCGCGTGGGCTTAGTTGCCCCACAGCACATGGGATCTTAGTTCCCCGACAAGGGATCGAACCTGCGTCCCCTACATTGGAAGGTGGATTCTTTACCACTGGACAACAGGGAAGTCCCTAATTTATATTTTCTAATATCAATCAACAACTATTATGTATGTGTCAAGCACAGTTGCCATGCAAGGGACTTTCTGAGCTCTTCCCTAATTCTCAAAACACTGCAAGGCAATTTTACAGGTGAGGCAACTGAGGCCCATAGAATTTATATTCCAAGAAATTATAGCTAATAAGTGGCTAAGAGGACTGTTTTACTCCAAAGACTATGCCTCTATTACACCACACTCTCTTAATAATAATAATAATAATAATAATATAGCAACATGAACAAAACAATAATAATGAGAGGAGGCAGTTTCAGTGGCAGCTTCCCCCACTCTTCAATCTTACCCCCAACAACCCAGTTATTTTAATCTCACTCTGCCCTGCTGGCACCCACTCAAAAGATCACTGCTATAGGTTTACTAAGAGAGTGCTTAACATAGAGGAGTTCTTTTTATAAAGTAACTAGATAATAAATAATAAATGCCCTTAGGGTCCCATAACACAAAGAGAAAATCCTGTCCACTATGAGGAACAATTTCAGTTCCTTCAACATTTATGTCTTAAAAGCCTATTATGTGTAAAAGCCTTCAGAAACAAAGGAAAGTCTGAGAAACTGTCATAGACAAGAGGAGCCTAAGCAGACATGATGACTAAATATAATATACTGGATGGGATCCTACCTAGACCAGAAAAAGGACACTGGATTTTAAAAAATGAAAGAAATATGAATAAAGTATGGACTTAATAATAATATGTCAATATCAGTTCATTAATTATGAAAAATGTACCATACTAATGTAAGATAATAACAGGGAAAACTGGATATGAAGTATATGGGAACTCTTTGTACTATCTTTGCAACTTTTCTGTAATTCTAAAACTGTTCTAAATTTTATTTTTTTAAAGCCTATCATGGGGACTTCCCTGGTGGTCCAGTGGGTAGGACTCTGCGCTCCCAGTGCAGGGGGCCTGGGTCGATCCCTGGCTCGGGAACTAGATCCTGCATGCATGCCGCATCTAAGAGTTCGCATGGCGCAACTAAGAGTCCACATAACACAACTAGGAAGGCTGCATGCCACAACTAAGAAGCCTGCATGCCACAACTAAGAGCCCGCATGCTGCAACTAAGACCCGGCGCAGCCAAAATAAGTAAATAAATAAATAAATATTTTTTTAAATTAAGAAAAAAAAGCCTGGGCTTCCCTGGTGGTGCAGTGGTTAAGAATCCGCCTGCCAATGCACAGGACACGGGTTCGATCCCAGGTCCAGGAAGATCCCACATGCCGCGGAGCAACTAAGCCCGTGCACCACAACTACCGAGCCTGCGCTCTACAGTCTGCGAGCTACAACCACTAAGCCCGCACACCACAACTACTGAAGCCCGCGTGCTCTAGAGCCCATGCGCTGCAACTACTGAGCCCATGTGCTTAGAGCCTGTGCTCCACAACAAGAGAAGTCACCACAACGAGAAGCACGCGCACTGCAACAAAGAGTAGCCCCCACTCGCCGCAACTAGAGAAAGCCCACGCGCAGCAACGAAGACCCAACGACGCCAAAAATAAAGTTTTAAGAAATAAAAATAAAATTTTTAAAAAGCCTATTATGTGTCAACTACTGTGATGAATATGAAAGGGACTGTAAAAACAAAATATAACAACATGAATGAACTTGGAAACATTATGCTAAATAAAAGAAGCTAGTCACAAAGGGCCAATATTGTATGACTCCATTTATATGAAATAGCCAGAACAGGAAAATCTATAGAGAAAGAAAGGCTAGTGGTTGCCTAGGGCTGGGGGGGTCTGGGGAGCTGGGGATGACAACTCAGGGATATGGGTTTTTTTTCTGGGGTGATGAACATGTTCTAAAATTGATCGTAGTGATGGTTGCACAACTCTATAGATATTAAAAGCCATTGAATTGTATACTTTAAATGGACAAATTGTATGATATATGACTTATACCTCAATAAAGCTGTTTAAAAAATGTAAGCACAACCCCTGTCTTATAGGAATTTGAATGGCTGAAGATATGAATACACATTTGTATTAAACAGCTAAGCAATACCACAGTATTATATGATTACGTCAAAATAGGTGGCACAAACAACAAGCACCTCTGGCAGGGAATCCAGGTGTTGATGGCCAGGAGAAGTTCTTAGCTTTTGGGGTGTTACAGATCAGATATTGCTGATAATCTGCCCCAAATCATGAACCTTCTCCCCAGACAAATAAATATAGACACGAATATACAAAAGTTTGCATACTTAGCACAGGGAACTATATTCTTATAATAACCTATAATGGAAAAGAATATGAAAAAGAATCTATATATATAATATGTGTATATATACATATATATATAACTGAATCACTTTGCTGTACACCTGAAACACTGTAAGTCAACTCTACTTCAATTTTTTTAAATGTAGCAGGTGGGGACTTCCCTGGTGGTCCAGTGGTTAAGACCCCACGCTCCCAATGCAAGGGGCACGGGTTCGATCCCTGGTCAGGGAACTAAGATCCCGCATGCCGCATGGCGTGGCCCCCCCCCCAAAAAATTAAAATGTAGTATGTAGAATCAAATAAATTAAGTAAGTAAGGGGGGAAAAAAGTTTGCATACTACTTCAAGAGATTCACTGAAACTCTTAACATCACCCATAGGCCACTATGCTAAACCAAGAGATCCTCAAGGGCAAGAGTCATATCATCTTCCTGTTGTTTTAGTAAATAAATAAATGATTAGGAAGAAGTGAATGAGTGACAATCATTGCTACCATTTATTACCACCCACATCTAGTTTGTTGAGCACCTACCATGTGTCTAAATCATAATTCCATTACAGGATAAATATTATTATCCCATTTTACAGTTGGGGAAACTGAGATTAAGTAATTTACCCAAAGTCAAACAGCTACTATCAGAACTAGCATAGGATCTTAGGTTTCTCTGACTCCAAAGCCTATAATTTTTCCACTATTCTACACCCTCTCTCCCATAAATGAATGTGTTAGTGTTTAGGAATTTAGGGGGGAAAATGATCAAATTTAGGAAAAGTCTCCCAGAGAATGTGAGGTCATGAAGATTGGGAAGGATATGAATAACAGAAAGAAGGACAAAGTATGTAGACAATCCTAAAAATGACAATTAAATCAGATACTAAAAGACTTTGTAAACATGTGTACAATATGCTTAACCTTTTATTGGCCAGCATAAAAGACAGAGCAGGCAACTGGGAGCCCCAGGACACAGGAGCTCTGGCTGGCTCTGCCCCCACTGGTCGCCATACTAGTGATTGGCTAGTAATTTTCCCCTCTCTGGACTTAGAACAGATGACTCTAACGTCCCTCCAGGT